ATTCAAACGTGTCTACATCCACACTGGCGTTTCCCCGACCGCCATTTCTACCGCCATCCACCTAGTTGGCACGATCCCCCGGCTTCCCATGAAACGCCCGGACCAGTTCTCCTGGTACATACAACAAAGGACGACGTTCCTCACTGAATGCTAATTGACACCCGACCACAACGACCCATGCTAAATTCTGTCCCAAAATTTCAACTGCGTCGTGCAGCTAAGCATTATTATTAGTTCAATGTTGCTAGAATTAGTCTCGCGCTGCGAACTTGTCGAATATTAATTTAAGATATTTCCAAGCGCGTGGCTTTTTAACGGCGGAGTCAGTTGCATAAGCAAAGTTATAATTTAGTTTGTCATTACGCCTTCAATTACTAATTGCTTATTCTTTCTCGACGTATGTACCGAGCGTACATTTATGCATGAAATTTAAAGTGTGTATTCGAAAACGAAATTATTAAAATTGAGTTATCTTTCTAAGTGCGTTATATCGATGCTTTAAATGTCAACAACTTAAAAAATAATGATGGATCGATTGATTCCGTTTATAATGTAGATTTATTTGCCTCTTTCCGATATAGAATTTTAACGCATAACGGGATGGCTAGAACTGTCAGCTGGCAATCAGCACAATTAATATTTCGTTATTAATAATTAAATTGCGCTCCAATTCGCCATAATTAAATCAGTCAATCCTGAACAAATAAAAGACCATTTTATAGACTTCGTATAAATAGAGAGAGAGAAAGATAGAGAGAGATACTATAATTTATTTTACTTATTTTATATCAATTTAACTGATCAACATGAAATAAAGCCTGGACCAGACGTGCGACTTATTTCCCCCTGGAATTTGTACAGCGGCATCAGCAGAAGTTTGCTTAAAAACTCCAATAGCCATTGCAGCCGCCGCACAGTCTCGTAACTTTGCAAATTCACTCAAGCTTTGTGACGAGCTCTGTGCCTCTTTCTTTTTATCTCCCCCCCCCCCTCCCTCTCTCTCTTTCTCTCAATACCTATCTCTCGGGTCGTCACCATCCATCGAACTTGATATTCGCTTTCTGGATTGATATTCTTTCTGAATTCCCAAACCTCCCGCAGCTTCCTCTCTTCGATGACATCCCGACAACGATAATAAGATAAAAACGCTTGCCTTTCTCTTCCCTTTGCGCGCGCGCGAGAGTCCTTTTACGGATTCTTTTACGGATGAATTTTGACGAGATCCTCGGCGAAATAAAATAATAACGCGCTCCCAACGGAAGTTAATGATAATTTAATTTCCGACGAGTCGCGACCTGCCGCTGCTTCAAGTGAGAAGTGAGGCAGAGCGCCCTTAAGCGGTAACTCGCCCCATTCATATCCACCCCTTTTCTCACATCGACGCCGGTCATATAAATAAAAATGTAATAAAAATAGACGTACTTGTGACGAGACGGAGGCGGCAGACGACAAGATAAAGACGCGGCTTTCTTGTCCCGTAATATAAATTGCGCTGTAAAAGTACAATATGTGCGGCATAAAAAGTTGATTGCCTCTCGAGGCGACCAACGCTACTTAAGATCGACACTTCCCATCCGATAATTCAGCTTATCGCGAAAAAATTATTATTTAATTGTCAGAGGCTCTTGCAGCTTCTCAAGTTTTAAGCGTTCCCGTAATTAGATTTTTCCGTCGAATTTTCCCGAGGAAAAAGTCGACCCCAAGTTCATCGTGGAATTATGAAGGATGAGCCAATATGTCGGAAACATTCTTTATAAACGTCATCTTTATTTGATTAATTAATTCCTTCGCGCACAATAATGCAGAGTGGAACGTCGAAGAAAAAAGATCGGGGAAGCGGAGAAAGGAACTGTAATTAGATCGCGTTCTTCTCGCGATCTCCTTTTGTAGCTTCTTTCATTATTACGTTACAATAGATATTTCTCTTTTATAACAAAAGCTTTAATACCTCATACTTGTATCACCGGAAGTGCACACGACAGTTCGACATGCATGTTTCGTGAAATCGTACGTAATTTTCGGATCCTTTTATACATCCAGGACCAAGTGGTTCGCTGTCTGCTTTCGTTTAAGTAATTATTCAATTTCTTAACTTCTTAAATTACGACTGCTGCGGCATTAATCTTAAGCACTTATTTTTAATTGACCAAAAATTAGAAAGAATCGCGAGGGTACGTCACTTCGTCCGATTTTAACTTTTTTTTAGAATTGCAATCAAAAGTATGAATATAATGTAATATTTATGTCGCACAATTATTTCTTTTGTCAAGAAGAATCTAAACTAATTTTGAATTTTCTTATACAAATATTCTCAGAGGACAATTAAAATCATCTTAAATAGAATACAAGTTTTATCGAACTCTTTCCGAAGCAAAGATTAGCCTTAATTTCTGATTGCGATCTGTGTGCGATCTGTGTGCGATCAGCAGTCACCGTTTCATTCATCATTGAACATCCGTTCAACTTGTTATTTGCTTCCTTGTATCTCGATCAGCAGCGATCGCTCGTTTGCATCCGGCCGCGATATTATCTCTCGGCTGATGGATCGCGGCGCTGTCTGAGACGCGACAGCTCCCTTAAGCCGAAGGGGCAAATTCTGAAAAATCGTCCCGGACCTTTTTACACGCACGCCCTTCGCCATCGAGCGTATATCATCGCCAAAGCCGATAAGCCCTCGCGCCGGCGAGTCTTGTTATTAAGGCCTAAGGAGAGCAGGCACCCCGGGGATATCTGGAGAATGTAATCGGGAAATGACTCGGTCCCGCGACGTGTAATTTATGAACAGCCGCCCGCTCGAAAAACGATCGACCGTTCCACCGCATGGATCGCTGATTGCTTCGCGATTATCGATTCTCGTTTCGCACGGGGGGGAAGCCGTTTCGTACGGAGCAATCCGGATACTTACACGCCGGGGTCGTCTCTCCTCTCGTAAATATATATGATTTCCTATTTCATTTTATTTATCCCCCACGCCGTACGTATCGCACGCATTTGACTGTTATTGCGGTAATAAATTTACCATCCCGTACACGAGCGCCGCTTTACATAATTCCTCTCGATCGAATTCAGCACATGCTCGCGAACACGTAGATTTTCTGGCGAAAGGGAGCATTTCCTCCCCCGATCCAACAAATACGCGGCTACGCGCCCCTCGTCGCCGCCATCTTCGTTGCTCCGCCGTCTACAACCTGAAAAGCAGTATCTCCATTTTTTGGCCATTGTAGTTGACTCACTTCCTATGTTTCTTAGAGAAATATCCGTTGTCCCACGAGACTAGAAAGCAGTGAGAGCACCAGTTTAACATAAAATAACTTATACACGTTGCAGTATGTCCACGTTTTTCCGTGCTGGCCTAGTTATAAGAACTTCAATGCGCGTTTCGGTCGTTTAACTTTATCTTAAGTAAAAACAAAATGACCCGTATGGATGCTATACAGATCACTTTACTAAGAAATATTTCGAGAGATATTTAAGACGATCCTTAAATATAAAAATGGACTGTAAACAAGCCTTAGTGTGCACTCGGAGCGCACTGGTGCAAACAACCGAATTCGCCATAACAATTTGAGAGATACTGCTTTCTAAGTTAGGACGGCAGTAGACTCGTCCTAAAATGTTTTGTATAAAACTATCGGAGAGGAAACGACAAGCACGAGTAAAATGGTCGTTAAACTCGTCCTCCAATATTTTGTATAAAACTATCAGGAAGGAGATGACAAGCGCGAGTAAAATGGCCGTGGAGATGCAGAGGGAAAATGGGTGGGAAAGGGGGAAGCGAATATTCATGATTCGCTTCATCAGTTGGTGACAATGAGGACTCGTGTAGCGAGTCCGTTAACCTAACGTGCGTTAAGGCACTGATGAGAAAAGGACGGCGATAATTTGTCGCGTCCCTTCCGCGAATTTTGTATATTCGACGTTTCGTCCCGTGGGTGAATTCGTAACATCTGATCCGAGTGAGAAGGGAATTCCTCTCCCTGTACTCCGCGAGGGAATAAAGATGAAGATCTGAATTTTTCAGGTAGAAAGAGGAGAAATGAAGAAACGCGCGCGGATGGGGTGCGGGCGGAGAGCCGTACATTATCCTCGGAGAAATACATTTTTTACGCTACATTTTATGCTGCCGCTTTAGAGCGCCGGCACGGCGCTGTTGGAATTACGACGACGACAACGGCGACGGAGGGATACTCTTATCTCACGCCCTTGAACACCTGTCGCCATTTTCACGCCTTGTTACACAAGTTACGTGCCGCAAACTGATCGATTCGGTTACGTCTGTCTAATCTAGCGGGATACTCGAGTGGGGCGTAGATCAATAACATTAATTACGCTAATTGCGTCTGTTCGGGCCAATGCACCGATCTTTCGACCGAGGGGACAGGGTAGCGGACATGGATATGATAAGCTCTTGGTCCCCGAAAGACTTCCTGCCTGTTTCCCCTTTTATCCAATTGCGTCTGTTCCTTTTGTGAGGGGACAGCCAAATTTTCTGGCACTCGTCGTGAGATCTCTCTAAAAGTCAATCGGTGGGTTATCACTGAAAACAGTGAAGTCACTGACTTGCAGTTGTAAATGTACCACCGCGATTTCCAGTGTTGCACTTAGAACTGCACGGAAAATATGTAGCTGCCGTAGCTAAGAACTGCACGTGGCAACTAAATTTCGGTTGTGAAATATGGACAGCCGTTACTTAGTTGTGGTGGCTAATATTTTGCTACTACGTTCACTGTATTAGGCGCGACAGCAAACCGTTTGCTGTGCTTAAGAAATGTAAATAAAACACAGAAGAGTTCACGGAAAAAAACATTTAGCTGCTGTAGCTAAAATTTAGTAAAATATGGACAGCTAATATTTTTAGTTGTGATAGCTCAATATTTTGCTACGACAGCAAACCGTTTGCTGTCGTAGCAAAATATTGAGCTATCACAACTAAAAATATTAGCTGTCCATATTTTACTAAGTTTTAGCTACAGCAGCTAAATGTTTTTTTCCGTGTTGGATCGAGTAGATAGACGAAGATCGCGAATAACGCTGATGAAGTTGAAAATTTAAGAGAGATAGAAAAGCGTAATGCAGGTTAGACAACAGAATAACAGGAATACAGCCATTTGCGAAGACCGGTTCGCTCGGCACGAATTACAGTGATGGCAGCAAAATATTTTCAGCAAACTATCATTAGCTACGGCAGCGAAACTATTTTTTTATCTATTTACTGCCTTCAGTGATAATCCACCGATTGACTTTTAGAGAGATGGCTCTCGCGTAAAGATCGCAGAAATTCCACGTGGTGTTCTGCGCGCGCGAAAAAACATCATCACCTGAGAAAACGCTCCGGAGTAACGGCGACGGGGGAGGGGGACGGTAAAGTCTATTACGTCGTCTGCCTTTACGGATAATGCCGCGTCTCGCTGTCTAGAAGGATAAATTGTTACGTGGGTGTACGTGCGAGGTACAATGCCTAATGAAGTAACGTGGCCGCCAGGAGAAGTAACGTGCACGCCTCCGGTAAAAGGACGCCTTTGACGGAGGACTTAAGTCTATCAGCCGCGAAAATATTTTGTATAAAACTATCAGAGAGGAAATGACAAGCGCGAGTAAAATGGTCGTGGAGATGCAGGGGGGGGGGGAAATGGGAGGGAAAGAGGGAAGCGAATATTCGTTATTCGCTTCATCAGCCTTCGTTAGTTGGTGACAATGAGGACTATTTGTCTAAGATCGCGCGCGCACGAATTCAATGAACGGCTATCAGGATGTACGAATTTCGCGGTAACGCTACCGTAATTGTCTCGTGTCGACCCGCGTGAAAAGATGAATGCAGGGCGATAACATTGACGGGATCATTCAGATCGCGTGTCTCACGGGCCGACAGTTAAATTCCAAGAATCCGGATATTAATAGAAGCCCTGATTTTAATTTACGAGTGAATTTACGCCGAAAATAAGTCGCTCGATTCTCGATTAGTGATCTCAATTGCGAACGATGCTCCCTGATGTCGCGCTTGCTGGGGAATTGGCGAAAATAAGCCGCTGAAACCTCCGTAAAGCTACAAGATCCGTCTTCTGTATTAGCGTTCCTTTGGAAGCCGGGCCGTCGCTTGTGTTCCTCGACATCTCGTGGTCGACGAGCCTCTCGGCGGTGGCGGTGGCGGCCACTCGAGTTTCCGCTCTGTGGTCTTCGCGCGGTTTGATTCTCCTCCGCTTTCCAAGCGCTCTCGACCGTCCCCGACTCGGTCCATGCGCCTTCAAGACGCTCGATGCACCGCGACGGCCGGTATCGCGCGAGCGAGAGAGGAAAGAGCGAAGGAATCCGACGCCTCTGGTCCCGCTCCTCCACTACTATTCTATAGAGGACTCCTGGAGAGTGTGTAAGTGAGCGTAGAGACCATCGGCCGCCATCAGGTCGTCGTGGGTGCCCATTTCGGCTACGTTGCCCTTATCAAGCACGCAGATCACGTCGGCGTTCCTTACAGTAGCCAGACGGTGGGCTATGGTGATACACGTTCTACCCTGCATGGCCTTGTCCAGGGCCGCCTGTACGACCTGCACGCAGAAAATGTCGGTTAATGCGATAGGCAGTTTCCCGGGAACAACTGCGACGAGAATGTAAGCGTAAAACGATAACGTTAGGGCGCGCCCTTATTTTATCCGATCATCGTCAAGGATTTCATACGCCTCGACATTATGCGCGGAGATGTTATTCTCAGGATTAACCGAGGGGGAAATCGTTGAGGGCGTTGTGGTGTACAGATTTGCGGCATTACTAGGCATTACTAGGCATTTTTTAGGCATTTGTTTGGGCATTAGGCCTTGCTGGGGCATTATAAAGATAAAATAAGATAAAGTAAGATAAAACAAAATAAAACGAGATAAATAAAATAAGATAATAAGATAAAGTAATGCCTACTGGGCATTAGTGGGCATTGGTGTACAAGATTTTGGTCAACGGTTTCCCCCTCGGGATTTATTAAAGAATTGTTCTCAGCAGTCGTTCTGAAAAATCTTCTATTCCACTTTTCTGCGAATCAGGTTAACTTTAATCCTTAGCTTAGTTCACTCTTTGTCTCCTTCCAAGGGAAACAATTAGAAAGAGACGAAAAGTGAGCGAAGCTAATGTTAAACGTTACGCGACGTTTCGGTGCAACCGGGCCTTAGCATCGAGGTGTACCCGCGGGAAACGAATCGCTTCGGTATAATTCGTATCGTTGCTGTATCCTTTGAAAAGGATCCGCGCTCGCAAACGGAGAATTATCTCCCCTTGCGGAATTGATGTCTCTAACGCGGTATAAAAAATTATTCACCGCTTGCGCAATTCATTTTTTAAACGGTATGATACAAATATTAACTTTCGGTATCGCGCGTTGCATATGTATGACATCGATCCATTACGCAAAGCGTGGGCCGTGCCGTGGCACCTGGATGGCGCGCGGAAGTGTTAAAAACAAATTAACGTTAATAATACAACGTCGCGCGTGCGTTCCTCCTTGCGCGTGCTCCCCGGGTGTAAATTATTCAGCACATCTTCCCAAAACTAATCCCGTAAACGCCCGAGTAATTAGCGCGAGCGGCCGTGTTAATGCGAAACACAGTTTAAATCAGTGGAGCGATTCAGGCGCGACGCTGTACACGGGCTAATCGAACGTAAGCACTTTCCCGCTTTCGTTTTACGAGACTCGACGACAAAAGGAGAAATGAGAGTGAGAGAGAAAGAGAGACAGAGACAGAGACACAGAGAGAGAGAGAGAAAGAGAGAAAGGGAGGATGAGAGATAGAAAGAGGGTCGATGCGGAAACAATATTGCCGCGAAATTCATTTGGCCGCGACGAGTCGTTTCCCGACAGGGGTGCAACAACCGCTTGCTCGTAAAGCCGAGCATTTCCGATTGTTAGCGCCGATAATACCCGGCAATGGCAGTCGGTTCGTCCGGTAACTCGACATCGAGAGTGAGGGATCGAGGAAGGGGAAAACGAGAGAAGGAGAGCACGAAAAAAAAATATATATCTCACTGTCGAGACCTACGGACTGTTTGACGGATTATCGCGTGCCGCGATAATCCTTTTTTTTCTTTTTTTTTTAATGGAATTGCTTTGCGCTCGGGAATGGAAGGATGTGATTGCGCGGCTGTGCAATTTGGGCCGCCCCTGCGTCAGAGAGCTGATGCCGGAAGTATCGCCGGGTTTTAATCGAACACGCTGGAATTATCATACAAAACGCGTGTTCGATACACAGCCGCGTAACACGCGGCGAACACGGGCATTATTTCGCGACGCGCGCTCTTTGACTCGTGACTCTCCGCCTGTATTTTTCGCCTAAATCCACCCGGGTCTCGTTAATATTCATCCCGCCGCGCCGCACACTCATCGCGCGACAGTTTAGATCACCGTGAAATCGCCGCGCAGCCGACGGCCCGCCGCGGAGCGGCCGCCGTATAAATACTCAGATATTTATTATCCGACCTCGCCGACTATCGCGCCCGTTATTGCTTATCGGAAATAGTTCCGTTTACAGCACAGTTCCGCGGCACGTTTGTTTCGGCGACCGCTCTCTCGCTGTTTATCTCTCTCGTTAAAAATACGGAGCCTGGATCGCGCGCAAGAAATTAATCAAGCACCGTAACATACTCTCCAAAAGTCAGTGCAAGTGCATTGTCGCCGAAAGAAAAGAACAGTTACGAGTACACCCAGAAAAAAAGTTTGTTTTAAACGAAACAAATTTATTTGAATTTTGACCTGGACTTTTATTTAGTTTCAAAGAAGTGATTTCTTTATTTCAACCAAAATTTTTATTGAGACTAGAATTTCTCAAATGTTTCAGTGGAAGTAAATAAAAAATGAGTTGACTCAAAAAAACATGATTTCAACCCATCTCCTTTGTTTAATCTAACTAAATATTTTTTCTGAGCGTATAGGAATAATTCAGTGCTGTAACTTCTAACTGTGAATCGGCGAATATTCGCTGTTTTCAGTGAAAATGCACCGATTGACTTTTAGAGAGTATATTTACAATTTCTCTAATCTCCGAGATCATCTCCGCCCTTGCAACTTGAAATGAGACAATTTTCAGTGAAATAAACATTATATGCCACAAATAAATTTTCGAAGACTTTTTCTCTCAGTGTAGTTGATCGTGAGACGAGCCTTGAAAATAAAATTTAGATTTTCTCGCAAGGTCTGTCCATCCCAATCGTACTTTTCGCGTTGCGTTGTTCGTTCCCGTCCTCGTACAAAACATGAATATACACTTGTTTCGCGCAGAGTAAAGGAAAACGTAGCTAAAATGGATTGACCTAAAAACTCGATGCTGACTCGGGGTTAATGCAACGTACGGGCGAATGGAATAAAAAAAGGAGGAAGCACCGCGTGCACAGGCGCTATCTTCCCGTCGACTGAAACAGTCGGCTGAAATTTCGCGCGGCGAGAGTGCAACGGACGCTCTTAACAACTGTATAGCAGCGGCATTATGAAGTATACGCGATTCCGCCGGTGAAATCCGCCGAAGGAGATGACACCCGCGGGAGACATGCGGCCGAATCAAACCTCCGTCGCCACCGTCACTTCCGGGGACCATTAACTCGATCGCCCGTCGCTGGCCGGCCCTTCGCGAGAACGATAACGACCCCGTGCCCTTCGGAAAATTTTCAATTCGGACTTCCAATCTCGCCGCGTCGATCTCGTCATTCGACGGCCCGCGACGTGATTTCAGCGCCGAAGTGCAATCTCGGGGATTATGATACACCGTTAATCGAGAAATCGTAACGCCGCTGCACCGTGCAAAAAGTGCGAACACTGCGCGAGTGGACATTGTTCCGGTCTGAGAATCGCGCGCAGAACGTTCTGCGCGATTAACGAGCTATACTTCCTGCAAATGTTACGCAACGAGTCACGGACGCGTTTTGTTGTACATGCAATCTTTGCCGTCGGCTCTTACTTTACATTGCCGAGGCACTGTTCGTTCTCGGGAAAAAAGCCTATTTTCTAACAATTGTTGAACAGTCACTGATTTACAGTTATAAGTAGAGGAAAGTTTCCTGTTATAAGATAGTCTTGTAATATGGGATAGCGGAGTTGCTGCTAAATTAATAGACACCATTTGTTGGCCCTACCATGAATTTATTGCCCTTGAAGTGAAATCTGTTTCGTGGAAAACTGATCGTTAAATCGTGTAATCGTTGCGAATAAAGATTCGAATTTGGAAACCTACTATCTCACATTAGAATCCTAGAATCATTTTATTCTCATAGTAGAGAACATTCCTCTGTACCACTGCGATTTCCAGTGGTACACTTATAACTGCAAATCAGTGAGTATTCACTGTTTTCAGTGTTAATCCACTGATTATCTTGTAGAGAATGTAGAGAGTAAGGAAAGGGGAAAAATCACCGTTAAAAATTACTCGCGAGTAACTTCAGGAGACCAGCGTGATGCTTCTTACCTTCTCGCTTTGAGTATCGAGGGCCGAAGTGGCCTCGTCCAACAGCAAGACTCGAGGATTTCTCAATAGCGCACGTGCGATCGCTATTCGCTGCTTCTGCCCACCGCTCAGCTGAGTGCCCTTTGATCCCAACCTTGTGTCGTAACCCTAAATAAGCAGAAAGAACTGTATTTAATCGCGCGAAAGGAAGGAATAGCTACACGCAGTATTAATAATATAACATTAATATTATAATGTTGACACATTAATCCTCCCCCATAATTGTCGTATTTTATTCTCCATTTTTCTTGGAATAATTGCAACTCAGAAAAGTTCAATTTTACACCGAGAAAAATGTCCGACTAAATATAACCGGATAATTCAATTACACAATAACAAACGGAATTAAATTGTATATTCGTCGAAAAATATGATTGGTTTTTCGATCAAATTTCACCGGTAACTGCATTTCATCGGATAAATTGCATCGGATGTGTCCATAATTTAATCGGAAAACGTAATCGGAAAAATTACCCACCGGAATTACACACACTATTTAATTGGTTTACCCGACGAAAATTTTTCTCAGTGCACTGACTGACGTTTAGAGAGTAACGTAAAATGAAAGACTCGCGCGTTCCTCCCATTTTTTTTTCTTTTCCTCAAATCTACTCCGGACTTTTCGCCGCGCAAAAAGTCATACGCGGACATTGTAACACCGCCAACTAACCAGTGGTAGCGAAGTGACGAATGTATGGATGTTCGACATTTTGGCGGCCTCGATGATCTCGTCCATGGCCGCCTCTCGGCTGTTGTCGCCGTAAGCGATGTTCTCCGCGATCGTTTTGTCGAAGAGCACCGGCTCCTGCCCCACGACGCCGAGCTGCGACCTGAGCGTGGCCAGCGAGACCGAGGCGATGTCACGTCGATCCAGTGTCACGGTGCCGGAGATCGGATCGTAGAGCCGCTGCAGCAGCTGAATACAGGTGGATTTCCCGCAGCCGCTCTGACCCACGAGAGCCACCATCTGGCCCGGCTTCACGATTAGGTTCAGCCCTTTGAGCACCGGCATCTCCGGCCGCGTCGGATAATGGAAGTCGAGCTTCGAGTATTGTATCAAGCCGTCTGCCTTCTGCGGGGCAAAAACACAAAGCGACTCGTTAGCCGGGAGATGATTCGAGATTCGCGTTAATCCCGCAATTTACGCGTCGCTTGTCCTCTCCAGGTCCCGCGATATGGAAAGCAAAGGGGGCGCGGAGGAGTTTGTTTCATTTTTTCATTCATTCACTCGTGAAGGGACAGTTATATCGGACGGTCGATCGACTGAGTCATGATTTGGAGATGCTTAACGCGAGTGTCGCGCTTTATTTAATTTACGCCAAGTATTCTCAGGTACTCGACGAAACAAATTTCGCGTCTTGAGCGTAATTAACGAGACGTCGCTCGGAGCGGTGCTATCAAACAGTCGTAAATTTCCAACGGATGTAATATCATTTGCACAGGCGTTTCGACTTGCGCGCGGGCGCGTGTGTAAACACGATACATCGTAAACGAAACAGAAAACCGCGTTTCGATGCGAAGATTAAACATGCATCCGGCAATCAGCGATGTTTACGGCAAGGCGTCGCCCGGTAATCATCGGATTAATTTGCGCGAATCGTCAAAACTGTTAGCAATCCCGCGCGCCCCATGCAACACAGTTACGTAAGCAGTTTGTCGAGCGCATTATAAATTATGTGGCTCCGTTAGAGATCCCGTTAATAATCCCCGTTAATAATTCATTAAATAATGGAGTACTATTTGGCGTGTAATACGTGATAAATCTTGCATCACTCTGATTTTGCGTCTTGTGACGAGATAAAAGCGTGATTAAAGAAGTTATTTCGTAAAATCAAGCATGTAAGAATTGTTTCAAATTTTTACAGTTTATTCTTCGCATTAATACGTGCAAAATAAGACTAATTAAATTAAAATTTACCGTCTCAAAGTTCTAAAAAAAAATGTTAAAGTTTTAACAATAGTGAGCTAAAATAAGGGCGATAAGAGCCATTGACAAATTTTTAATACGATATTTAAAGGTGCTTTTACATAGATGGAAATGAACAAAAGCACACCAATTTGTATTTTGAGTGTTAAATATCGACAAATTTAATTAACGTCAGACGTTTCGGTTACTAAAGGTAGTCCTTTTCAATGACAGTTTTTCAATACATGAAGAAAAAATGTTTTAACCACAAATTTATCGCATCTGTCACCGAGGTTTTTTTGCTATTGAAAAGGGTTACCTTTAGTAACCGAAACGTCTGACGTTAATTAAATTTGTCGATATTTACCACCCAAAATACACATTGGTGTGTTCTTGTTCATTTCCATCTATGTAAAAGCACCTTTAAATATCGTATTAAAAATTTGTCAAAGGCTCTTATCGCCCTTATCTTAACTCACTATTGTTCTTACACGAAGCCTTCATTAACATAACTGTTAAAGTTTGCTATGTTACACGAAATATTACGTGTAAAACACGTTAAAAATATTATTACACGTAACAATATAATTCGTTGTAATATTATTACACGTGAAATATTATTTACACATTTTATTATGGTAAAATATTAACATTTGCATTTGCAAACATAAATAATGGCACAATTTTTTTAAAGCTTAACGGTGAGTGAGATTCGTGTGAGAAACAAATATGTTATGAAGTAAAATAGAACGAATAACTGGGAAAAAAATCAAAATTATTTACCGTTCCGTTTCAACAATATAAACAATTAAATCTGAAAAATGGGAAGAATTGTGTAGTAGACATGAGTGTAGTGTAAGAGATGCCGCAACAGCGTTTCAAACTAGAATCTTTGGAATCTATTTTATATTGTGTATTAATCGCAAGGGTATTCTTTAGAATAATATTGCATCAAGATATATCATTGTAACAATTGAGTGCTGGTTCCTGTCTGGAAGGAACTTTTGAGCATTACTGTCGCGAAACAACTACCTTAGATGCGCTTTTACAAAAATTTCAACGAGTCGTAAAACAGGAGGCATCTCCGTGAAACAGACTGACCCGAGATAATGTTGTGCTTCGGAATTATCTTCAACGTGCAAAACGACTTTTTCCTTTGTTTTTTTGTATAACATGAAATATCCAAAGAGTCTTTCGCTCTTAATTCGATTAATTTTAATTAGTTTAATTATATATCTCTGGGGGGGGGGGAGGGAACTCATTTACTTCATTTACAAGGGAAATTAGGGCCCGTAAATGTAACACGCAAATCACGTCGGCGTACAGTGACACTCGGCACGTGCGTTAAAACAAATCACTAAGGCTAATAATTTTACGATTCAGTAGCCAATTTAAATGCTGTGTTCAGTGTCGCGAAAATTTCGATTAACTTCGTAAGAGATTAATTAAAAGTTAAAACTAATTATACGCACGTCCTCCTCTTTATCGCTGCACGTTCTTTGGCGAATTTTCCATTCTCTCGCGAAAATTAAATCGCACATCTTTCCATTCATTATTATTATTCAACATTAAACATGTCGGCGACCGCTCAAAGTCAGCTGCAATTTGTATTTCGCAAATATTATGTATTTAATGGCCGCCGCTAAATGTATACGCGCAACGAAGAGAAAGTCCACAGCGCCAGAAACACGTTGTGTACGCGCGGTTTACGCGAGCCGAGTTTACGCGCCGAATATGCAAGATATGAAAGCGAGCTCACCCAGTCTAGGTCCTTTCCCTCTGATCCCGGTGGCGAAGCGATTTCTGGAACTCTGTCGAACAGCTTGAAGATTTTGCCGGCCGAGATCTTGGCCGTGTTGAAATTCGGCGCAAAGGCCAGCGCCTGCCCGAGCATCCACGAGCCGAAGATCAACGCTTCCGACACCTTGATGACTTTCTCGTAACTCAGTCCCTCCCTGGCCACCAGGTAACCGCCGTAATAGAGACTGATGGCGTAACCGAACATTGGCACGGTCTGACCACACGAGTACACTATTCCTCTCAGCCTGCTCCTGATTCTGATCGCGCGGGCGACGAGGTCCAGTTCCACGCAGTACCTCTTGAAGAAGACGTCCTCCTTGTTGAGACTGGCGACCGTACGTATGTGGGTTATCGCCTCGACGGCCACCCGGGTGGCTGACTCCATCTTCTTCTTTTCCTGCATACCCTGGCCGCCCATGACTCGCGCCTCGAAGAACACCGCGCCGAGCACCAGCGGGATCGACACCACCGAGACCAGCGTCATCTTCCAGGTGTAGTACATGGATATACCGATCCCGATCACGAGGGTCGAGAAGGCCTGCAGCATCGAGCCGACGCGAGTCCCGGTCGCGCCCTGGACGGCCGCGGCGTCCGACGAGAGCCTCGCGCAGAGCGCACCCACGCTGTTCTTGTCCTCGTCGTACCAGCCCATCTCTTGCTTCAGCATCGCGTTGAACGCCATCTTCCTTAGTCGCGTCGTCATACGCACGCCGGACAGGCCGAACATGTGCATCTGTAGGAAGGTGCCGGTGCCTGTGATCAAGCCGACGACGATGAAGAGTATCGAGAGGTGAATGGTCTCCCTCATGACTTGCTCGTTGTCGGGAAGATTCAGTATGTAGTAGATGTCGCCGAATAGTATAGCGAAGGCTGGGAAGGAAGCGCCTACTATCGCCGCCGCGATACACCCTGCAAGAATCGTATAGACCGTACAGACCCAGGCATTAATGAATAAGACTGTACGCGATCTTACGAAGCCTGAGCTTCAATTGTCAACGGATTCTCGTTAGCTAGAAAAATTACCGATCAAATTCAACGGCCATTCCGGCTTGTTCAATCCGAATATCCTCATCATAGGCGCGTCGTAAGGTTTGTCGTACTCGTCCAGTTCCTCCTCTACCGAGGACTCGGATCTCGCGAGGGAGAGTCGATGGGAGTGTGCGGATAACGTGGAGAATTGTTTGTTCAACGGCGGGTTTATCTTCACCTTCGGGGACACCATGCTCTTGGCAGCGGCCCTCGTGACCTTGTCTGTACAGCGGCAAATAAAATTAATCGTGTACGTTCATGGATACATCGACACGCGTGACATAAGCGATCCGAAGCGCACCTTTAGCCAAGGCTTCCGCGTTTGCGGAATGCAGCCCGTAATAATGATTTTTGAGCGCCATTAATTCCTCGTGGGTCCCTTGCTCGACGACGAGTCCATCCTTAATAAACACGATCCTGTCGACGTTGGTGATAGTCGAGAGTCTATGGCTGACTATAATCGTCGTTCTTCCCTTCGCTGCCGCGTCAAGGGCTCTCTGCACGGTCGCCTCGCTGTGAACGTCCAGCGCAGACGTCGCCTCGTCCAGCAGAAGAATCGCCGGATTTCTCGCCAGCGCGCGTGCGATGGCGATTCTCTGCTTTTGTCCGCCCGACATCTGAGAGCCTCTCTCGCCCACTGGACTATCGTATCCCTGAATGCACAAGCCGGCCCGGTTTCATTGTCCCGATCCTCGTGCGCGAATTGACATTAGGATGCGACATCGCGGAACGTGCGCGTCTCAAAAGAGATAAGTTTTCGGAATCGATAGAAAACCCCCGGATCGTCTATTGTTACATTCTATTATACATTCTCTTGCATTGGAACATTGAATTCGAATTATGCATTATATATGAGAAAAGATTTTCGCACATAAAAAATACTAACGGCATCTTGGCGATTTAATTTTATCATAAGATATTGCCACGCTTCTGTTTTTCCTGCTGCAATGTCTTTATAAAGCAATATATAATAGAAACTGCAAATCAGTGACTGTTCACTGTTTTCAGTGATAATTTACGGATCCATTTTTAGAGAGTGCATGTACGTTCAACGCGACGACGCTGTCTAGAAATATTATCGCGGCGATCAATTACGTTTCCGATGGATTTGCACACCGAGCTGCCCGCGCGGATCTCACTTTTTCAACAATAGGGAAGCTGCACGGTTAAATTGTAGCACGTGCGCGCACGGGATAAGCGCGGAATGTGTGTGTGCAAACGCGGACGGCGATGCAACGGGACTATCGCGAGTATCGAATTCATCTACCGATAATCCGCTAATAAACGCCTAATCGTTGACACAGGCGTAATCTCGGATAATGTTATTTGCTCCGCGCACGGTTTAACACGCGTGTTTTATCGCCTGTTTGCGCGCGGACTGCCAGGCACACCTGAGACTATTGTTAACACATCGCAACGCGCGCTGACAACGGTTATATCGAGTCGGAGAGTTATTCGGGAAAATTATATTGAAAAATCTCTCCCGTTACCTTCATTCGTTTACCTCCAATTACGCTCGCTCAACTTTAAAAACTCCCACGTGTTCAACGAGATTTCGATTAGCTTCGCGCAGTTTGTCATAAAATTTTGCAACGCCGTTAAAATCAAAGTGTCCTCAAGTGCCTTCAAGTTCGAGTCATCGCGTACAATTTTGAAAAACAGTTATCGTTATTGGTGATTACGTTCGTTCCACTATCGGTTCAACATATTCCAAGTGAACGCGCCGAAGAGTTTCGGTAGAAGAGACAATGTCGAACGTATACAATATCTTCGTTTGATTTTCAATCGAGTGACAGCGCCGACGTATCCGCCGGCTCTGTGACTTCCCGATGGAGCTGGCTGAATCAATCGAACTCTCGCGTCGAAGCACGACCGGGAGGAAGCTATAATTCCGGACGAGTAAAGGGCGCGGCTGGAATACGAGAAAAGGGCGGCGGTGCTCACCTCCGGCAGTTTGCTGATGAAGTCATGAGCGTTCGCTTCCTTCGCGGCTTTGATCATCTCCTCCTCGGTAATGCTGTCATTTCCGTAACGGATGTTCTCGCGTATCGTCGTGTCAAAGAGTACCGGCTCCTGACCGACCAAGCCGATGTGCGAGCGCAGCCATTGAACGTTCAACGTCGACACGTCGACCCCGTCCAGCAGGACCTGCACGGGAAAATATGACAACTTTTGGAAATCGCTCCCCTGTCTCCGTGTACCTACGCGTATGCCGAGCTGACGTTCCGCGCGAGGCGAACGTCTTATAAGTTAGCGGGGCGAAATAAGTTGCCAACCAAGGAGCCAACTCCAATTAATATTTTCATTTGTCGCTCATTTGTTGTTAAAAAGTTACCAAAGTAAACGGTTTCTCTTTATAAAATGATGTTTCGTTGAAAAAAGATTGAATTATCGGAGCAATATATATGTTTCATATCTATTTAATATTTAGTTTATGTAATGCACAATGATACATACTGAAAACTCACCCGAAATTAAGAGCAAAGAACGAGAATTGATATAAAATAAAATAAAAATGTATATAACAACGAAATTTTAACAGCCGTATTATAAAATTCTGTTGCTAATTTGTTGCTCTCGGAAAATATTAATTAGAATTGGTTCAGCTTATTCTGTAAGTTTCTCTAAAAAGAAAATAGCGTTCCGCTGAAGAAAGACCAAGACCAGCGAAACAATACATATACATCAACAGAATTGTAATACCAGTGCCATAAGAATTGGTTACCTTGTTGCTCTCGAAATATATTAATTAGAATCAATTATGCTCACTTTATTCCGCTAACTTATAAGACGTGTGAAACGAGAATCGATAGTTGAGCGAAACGACGATGACGAGAGTAAGCGCTATTGTATCATTTCTAGGCAGGACGAACTTCTTAAATAGCCAAAAGTTAATATAGTTTCTAAACAGAATTAATATCTTTTACCTTGTTTTTCACTGGTCATTGCTGCTCTCTGAAGTTTTAGAGTGAAAGCAGAACCATGGGATGAGATATTTATTCTGTTGGAGCAAACATTTACTCTGATAGAGTAAACATTTACTCCAATAGAGCGAATATTTTACTCCAAGGTTCTATTTTCGCTCCGAAACTTTCGAGAGCACGAGAGCAGCAATGACCAGCGAGAAACGACGTAAAAGGTCTAAATTCTGTTTAGAAATTATATTAATTGTTGGCTATTTAAAGGTTTTGAAGCAAAAGTAAAACCATGGAATGAAATATTCACTCCGTTGGAGCAAATATTTGCTCCAATAGAGCGAACATTTTACTCCACTATAGTCTCGAGTCATAATAATAAAAATAAAATATCAGTAATCAACAGATATGAATAGAACTATGTGAATAACGAGACACGCGCGAGCCAAACGCAATTTTAAAGCAAAGCGTGAGAAGAGTGCATAAGCCACGTAATGTAAAAAAAAAACTACTCGCTATGTTTTCACATGCGTGCAGCGTGGAAGCGATCTATGGGGGGACCGTACGTATGCGGCATTTTAATATTACACGTAACTAAAAGCGAACTTCTAGTTCATAACTTTATCGAACACACGAGCGTGATACATTCGTTGGGTAGAGCGTGGTAAAAAGCCGCAGAGTATAAAACATAAAATGTTTATTACACGCATCGAGGTGCTGCGTTACTACGCCCGCGGCTACTTTGGCGTCGTAAAAATCGCTGTCACGTTAATAATAAAACCGTAACGGCGCCCTTCAGGCCACGCGCGATCTCGATCGTGCGAGAATCGAACGACACCGATCGACCCCTCGCGCGCGAAAGCGCGGCGGGAAAGAGCTCGCCGTTCCCTCCGGTCGCGAATTTTTCCCCGTTGCGAAAACATGAGCGGGATAAGTGATCCGACGCGGAGCGATAAGACGGCGCTCGAAGACGTTCGACGGGAAAACGATGGGAAACATAATACGGGGATGATGGCCGTAAAACAATTATTTTTTTGAATAACGCCAAAGCGAATTACCACAGCGCAACGCCCATTTATTCAGCGTCGCCGTAATTTCGCGAGGGATAAAAACGTCACTCGGACATTTATGGTGCTACATGCGCGGTTATTAACTGTTCCCCGTGTAACAACGCCCGTCATAGCGCGCGAGCCGCGCCACTCCCTCCGTTCCTATATGCTTTTGCCATTAAAAAAGTGTCGTATGAACGACGGCAAGTCCGTCGCGTAAACAAAAGATAAAGTTGCGGCGTCCAAAATTTTGCGCGCCTCCGAATTGACCGCCTTCTTCATCCCGCATTACGTGCGTTGTACACGAAACGGCGAATACTCTTTCTCTGACGAGCAGAGAGAGGATTAACGAGCCGCCACCGACCTGTCCGTCGAGGGGGTCGTAGAGCCGTTGAACGAGCTGCAGACACGTGGACTTGCCGCATCCGGATTCGCCGACGAGCGCGACCGTCTCGCCGCGATTGATCTTCAGATTCAGCGCCTCGAGCACCTGGACGTCCTTCCGCGCCGGATAGCGGAACGCGACGTTCCTGAATTCGAGCTCGCCGTTGACGGCGTCCAGCCGCAGGCCCTCCTTGCTGAGGCTGTCGATCAACGGCACGCGATCGATAACGTTGAAAACCGCGGCCGCCGAGCCCCGAGCCATCGCGAACGCCTCGAGATGCGGTGAGGTCAGGCCCATGTTTTGCGCGCCGGATAAAACGCCGAAGAACACGATCACTAATACCGCCGGCGTGTACTCCCTCACCTCCTTCACCCGGTCATCCAGGATTAATTGCACGCCGTACCTGCGCACGAGGGAAAATCTGCTTTTTACCGCAGCGCGACACGTTCGCGTGAAAGCTAACGCCTTTTTTTTCCTAACAAAGAGTAGCTATTCCAGACATAAATGTCCAATTACTTATCTCGTAGCTTTTACGTTCGAAAGATGAGCGCTCGTTCCTATTGCTAACTGCGGTAAGATATAATCCAAGTAAACTAATTACGTTATAGAGACAATAACAAGAACAATCAGACGTTCATTACAGCTCTTTGAGAATGGAAGATTTGAAAGGTGCTTTCTAAAAGTCAATCAGTGGACTATCACTGAAAACAGTGAATATTCACCGATTCACAATTGTAATTATTGAAAATAAAAGTCAATTATTATCGCTGGATTCATTCCGTGCCATACTTACAACTGTTTTCAGTGAGACAATGCACCGATTGACTTTTAGAAAGTGGATAAGAATCAGACTTTCAACTACGACACGCGCGAAAGTCTTTTGACACCTCATCTAAGTAATCGAGTTAAAAACATATCTCTCAGAGCGAACAGTTTCTCCAATGGAGTGAATATTTCACTCCACGGTATTTTCACTCCAAACAATTTAGAGAGTACTCTCTAAAAGTCAATCGGTGCATTATCACTGAAAAACAATTGAATTATTCAGCGCTATACTTATAACTGTGAATCAGTAAATATTCACCGTTTCCAGTGATAATCCACTGGGTGACGTTTAGAGAGTAGACATAGCTACGCGTTTTACGTTGCATTATAATATACCGCGAAATTGATTGTCGTCAAAATATAATAATGATAAAAATTTATCGCGACGCGTGCCTTATTGCGGCGACAACGCGCATCCTCACCAGAACGCTAGCGCGTAGCTGAGATATATGATGAGCCACATGACGCCGCCGCCGATTCCGGACCACATGCCTCTCTTGGTGCCAGTCCTTTCCGCGGGCACGAGCTTCTCCGAGTACCTCTCCACCTCCTTCTGCTCGCCGTTGAACGCGACCACGGTCCTGATGGCGGCGAGAACTTCCTCGGCGACGCTACCGGCCTGACCGTAGGCCGCCAGCTCCTTAGCCGAGAGAGAACTTTGCACCTTGGCGACAATGGCCGTGGTGATTATTATGATCGGCGCGCAGCTTAGCATGACCAGGGTCAGCTTCCAGCCGTACACGAACGAGATGATGACCGAGGCGAAGAACGACGTTACCAGATACGTGATAATGCTCAGCTTCTCCCCCATGCCCTCTTTCATCTTTTCTAAATCCCTGTCAGAAAGATGAGCGACATCGTCACTAATAGTTAAGTAAATCCTCCGATCCCCCCTCGGCCGACCCAATTTCGGCTTGATATCATTTTTTACATAACCGAAAAGTGCGTCCCAAGGTTCAGCTTTCAATCGAGCGCGTGCTCCAAAGCCCCGGGACTGAGTTTTGATCGAGATCGACGTTTATCAGCGACTGTCATTGTCGGCGTTATCGCTATCTCATATTTTTTTACAGCCCATCTGCCACAAGATTAGAAATCTTTATGTAACGCCGCCTCTATATTGTTGTGGACAATCGACAGTCGGCCAGTGGAAAATAGTCGCGATCGATATTTCTGTATGTTCTACTAGATACATATATCTTTTAGATAGCGAACTACCGAACTAAATACATCGCTGTTATCATATTTACTGCAGACACTCGGTCTCTAATAACCGTAATTGCGCATAATGATACGTTAAAGCGTAATAGCTTATCTCTCTCGCGTTGCGCGGTTTTTTCCCTTATCTCTGTCGCGATGTAGAAAAATGGAATCGTGGCCGAATAAAAGGGGCCGGTTATCTCGAGATAAAAATTAACATATTTGCGATTCGCGCGGCTAATAATTTAATATGAGTCGCCCGTCCAATTACTAGACGGTGTAATGCGAGCGGAGGCAGAGACAGTGTGGGAACAGGCTTTTCGAGTTTCGAGCAAACGCCCACCTGTTGATGAACACACAGGTCCTCGCCTCCTGAACTTTGCTCCGCGCTTCCTCCCCGTGTCCGTCCTGCGTTTACATCGACGGCGTCGAAAATCGAAGGTCCTCCCTTTGAGGACGCATCGACGCGTGAAGGCACGAGTATCGTACCCGCTGAAATTCTTCCGCGAAGAGAGATCACAACGTCGAAGTTGCTAATCTCTGTTGGACCTTTAATCGAGGGTCGCCCGACGTGCTTCGAATATTGAAAAGTTCGCACAGTTTCCGCACTTTCCAAATAATGTCTGTCGAATAAACGAGTCGGCGCGATTGTCGCAAGTGGTTAACCGTATCTCGTAATCGCAGATCTTTCTCGGCGATTTAACGCTACCGTGCAGACGCTGAGTAAACGTCTCGCGAATGAATGGCGCTTCGTAGTCGCTCGTCACGACGAATTCTGCGATCGATCCCCGTTATCTTCAATTCGCGATACAACACGATACACATCTACGTAACGATAAGAGAAGAAAACTCACTCGTTGATTCTGCTGGCGAAGTTGGTCGACGTGTTCGTGTCGTACCACGACATGTCCTGCCTGAGAACCGCTCTCAGGAACATCTTGCGCACCCTGGAGATTTGTCTACTCGCGGCGATATTGAGCGTGTCGACCATAAGCATGCTGAGGACGAACATAAGCGCCGATAACGACGCGCAAGCGGCGCCAAAAGCCACCGCATCGTCGTAAAGAGCGTCCATCCTCTCTTCGCGCGTTGCATTAGCGTATCTGAAATAAGTAATTTCGCGTCACAACGAAGTGACACTCTGCTTGCCCCGATCCGACGTTCGAGGGAATCGATCTCGAGGAGTCTGTCACGCCGTAACACATGTCCTTGCAAAATATATCTCGCGGGGCGACTATCAATTCTTGAAGGAATAAACTCTCCAAGGCCTGTGTCCACGATGCTAGGACTTGGTCCAAGTTTTAGTATCGTGGACACAGGCCTTAATAGTTAATCAGTGGATCAGTGAAAACAGTGAATAGTCACTAGTTCACAGTTATAAGTATGCTACTGAAAATCGCAGTGATATACGTATATCTGTGAATCAGTGAGTGTTCACTGTTGATATTCCACTGATTGACTTTTAGGGAGAAGAGACGAAATGTTACTTACAAAATCTTGCCACCCCCGAACCACGGCAATATGAAGGTCGGTGTGGTCGTGTCGTTTCTGTTACGATCCAACAGCATGGTGCTGAATTCACCGTATTCGATGATCGCCACTGGAATGCACATGCCTACGAGGCAGCCCAGCATCAGGCCTAGGAAGATCAGCGTCAACTCGCCCCACGTCGCAAATCGAAACTGGCAAATTTCGAACAATTACAGCAACAACTGTAACACGCTTACCGTTGCAAATGCTTGCTGTTGCGCTTGAAAATTCATGAGTAGCGCAACTATTGTGGAATTTATTACGTTACGCGTGTCCGTAAGTGTGTGAAAGAGAACGCAGTCCACGTGTTCGAGCACGCATTTGAAGCGCGGAGTGTTCTTTTTCGCAAAAGTTTCGCGAGCAGGTTCACGAGTTATTCGGCGCGGCGAACTCGCGCGTTTTTGAATGATTCAGCAGCGCGGATTCGCGCTTTCCGAGAGATTTAGCTTGCAAAATTAATACCCGGCTAACCATGATTAACGAGCGCGGCCACGCAACCTGCTCCTACGCACAAGAACAATCACAATTGGCCGTAAAAAAAAAAGCGTATTCGAATTTACGGCGTCGTGGAAAAATATCGTTCGAGTTTGATTGGCGAGCGCGCAAGTGGGTTCGCGGTCTATTAAATGGGAATTATAGCGCGGAAAATTATACAAATGTATCCCGGCAATGAGTCGTTAACTGTCGTTTATCACGGAGAGCGGAGTGCCATTAATCACCGACACTCATCCAAAGATGCTCCGCAGTCGGTGCTGATCGGGAGAGAAGTAACATTCTTAACGGTTTTCGCCGACGGATCCACCCCACACGTACGTGTCCCATTTCGTTTATGGCGCAACGTCGCGGTGTGCCGAATTTCCGCTCGTGTTCTCTTCATCCGCTTCGTTAGTGTTCGATTTACCTCGAGAGAAATGTGCACGCGCTAATAGCTTCCGAGGTAAGAGGCGATCGAAATTTGAAAAAGCGACTCCGACTCCCGACGACGAATCTGCAGGGGAGGGAAAGAGCGGAGGACGAGATGGAACACCCCGTTTTCTCGATTCCTCCAACGTGACGGGGAGTGTCGCGCTCGAAATTCGACCGAGGACACCGTCATAAATTATTATGGCAGGAAAAACTCACCAGTTTGTGGTAGGGCACGGGTTGCAACGTCGGCTGCTCCGAGGCTGACGTGTCCTCCTCTTCCTCCTTCGTTTGCGATGATATAAACTCCCTGTCGACACAAGATGCAAATAGATGTGATATAATTGTCAATCGAAATCCTTGAGATTCAAATTCGATATTTATTCAACGGGCCGAACTTCCCCTCGCTTTTCCACGCACTTCGCTCGGACAGCAAATTTCCCAGTCGGGAGAGTGCGACGCGTCATTTTAAATGTATCGTAAAAGCGCCGAGACAAATTCTCGTCTGTTTTCACTGTTCGTTGACCAGGCACAAATAACGAGGCCGGACGCGTTTCTCGCGATAGGGAAAGGAGTTTGGAGAATCCAACGGGGGTGTCTCGGGGAGCCGGAGGATTAGAAACTGTCCTACCGGAGGACATTTCGCGACATCCGAGATCGCGTGCGGCCACGAAAAATGGGGTGATAAATGAGTGACGCGGTTACTTTTACGAGGCGATAAAAAAAGGGACGCGAAGGTCTCGATGCCGGAAGCATCCTCGTAAAAAGCATGCGTTCGCCCCCGTACGAAATCATATACGGCCCGTAAAAGTTTTACGCGAGCCTCCTCTGGTCACATCGAGACGTTAATAAGTCGGCGAGCCCTGGCCGAGCGCAATGATCCATTATCCAAGTCTCTACGTCCCGTATTTATTTCTCGACACTGTACGTCACAATCTGTAACAAGCTCATTCGTACATTGCTTTGCCGTTTTTCCGTAGCATGTATTCGGCTTCATGTTTATCCCTCTCCTTGTCTCGTAGCGTGTCTGAAATGAAGATATACAAGGTACCGTACACACAAAAAAATTCACAAACACATTTAAATGCAAAGCGTGCTGCAAATAACGTGTCACCGCCGTTTATTGCATTTAACCGCGGGATAACATGGCAATGGCGAGATTGACGGATTCTACGAAATGTCTTTGTGCATCCCCGAATCGTTTATCACGCGCGTCACGCAGCTGGATTATTACGCTTCCCGCTAAGAGATGATAAAGCCATTAGCAGACACAGCTTTGCCTATCTCGGTCGCGGTCGCGTTTTTAGAGATTGTCATTGCCGTTCTAGGAAAATTATTCGACGAGTCGGCCGGGAAGGTCTCTTCGGCTGGGAATCGTGAATCAAACGGAGGATCTCCGTAAATCGGCAATTTAAGGATCAACGAGGACGCGGGAAGGTTTTCTCGGGTAAGTCGGCGGGGGCGCAAAAACTATCCGGGATCCGTGAGAAGTTTCGACGTCGCCGTCGCAAAGCCCAGGAACCAGAAGAGTAGTCCTGGATGAGAGACTTTGGCCAAAGTCGACCGGCGTCTCCCCGTGGGGGCTCCATTAGCGACGTAATTGCTGTTAGAAACTCCCCCGACAAATCTACGATCGGCACGGAATATAGGAAGCTTTGCTACCTGAAGTAATAACAGTGGCGCGCATACTCGAGGACGATGTATTAGCGTCAGCGTATTTTCGCGCAAAATTCGTCAGGTACCGTTTCGCCGCGTCGAGGACAAACTTGGGGAAAAGTTATTCCAGAAATTATTGAGAGGCAGATCTTTAGCAGAAAAGCACAAGAAAACGAGTTGCCTATTATTTTGCTGCTTCTCCCAAGGAAAACGTATTCTCGTAAGAGCGTTTCGTCGCGCACAGATTTATTAAAGTGAAACATAACACAATAATAAATTTATTCTAGAGATTATTGAGAGGCAGATTTTTAGCGTGCACCGAAAGCACGGAAAATGAATTTTCAGTTTGCTTCCATCGAGGTAAACACGTATTCTGTTAAGGGTGTTTCGTCGCGCGCATTGTTGCAAATTTATTAAAATGAAATACAATAAACGTAATAAGAAATATAATAAAATATTCGGGGTAAAAACCTGATGGTTTATAATTGCAATTTTTTATTTTAATTGCAATTCTAGTTCGAGGATTCATCGCGGCACCGTCGCAACCTCTGTACTTCGCAGGAAACCGATCGCTCTTCAAACTTTCTCAGTCGCGACTCTTGCGAGAGCGTTAAAACGAATGCCAGTCCTTGGAATTTCAGCAGTGAGACATTTAGTATCTCTTAATACGTTTTTCTTGTAGATTAATTGAATAATTCGTAGCTCGCTTTTATCGCAGAACTTAAATGGGATCCACCGAACTGGCACTCGTTAGATACATTAGTACACTCACTTCAAAGCGAGCAGTAAAACGGTAATTTTCTATAGAAACTTTCTTTATTGTCCTAAGAAGATATACGGTTATTTTTCCTACTCGTGCCAATCGCGAAGAAAGCTGCGATTTACGAAGTTACTTTACAATAATACTCTATCTGCGATTATGATAAAAAGCATAATAATCCAGCATGTTTTTTGCATATATCTTTCGCTCCAGGCTGGTTTTGAAATCATCTTCTCACAATTTCGTAGTAAATATTTCGATCCAGCAACAACCACTAATCTCCAATCAAATTGTTTCATACCAATTTCTAACAAAATTAACGATGAAAGATTTTCTCTCTTACGTGGTTAAATGCAAATACGACGATAACTAAATTATTGATTATACCAATCGATAATTATAATCGTTATGAAAACGCTACCGTGCAAACTTTTGCAAACGTTGAAGCAAGCGAGACACACAGCGTCAAGGATTAATTATGTCTTAAGCTACTTGAATGGTGTCACTTAAATTTTACCAAGGTGTACATCGCATCGTTATGCGACATGGAATTAAGTTCGGGTTGTCCATTAATTCGCGAAACTTCCGTTTTACGAGCCCAGTTGAATAATCAATCGCACGTAATTTAATTCCATGTTAAATAACGTGATGCGATAAACGAAAGGCTGACTTTTAAACACACAAGCTTATATCAGATAACGCAAGTACTTACATCTCGAGAGGATCTTTTCCTGGCGGGGGGAGTGATTTGCTCTGAGTGTCTCCATTTGGATATCCGGTGACCCCTCGCGGGGGCTCGTGGACAACGGATAAATTCGCTGCGTCATTGTGCATTCTTAATTAACGACTCTGCAATCATAAGAAGAAGCGACAATCGTCAAGACATTTTGCACCGATCTAAGTCTTTCAACAACTAAATTTTAACTCGGTCCTTTTTAACGTTTAAATAAATTTAGAAACATAAACGCCATTTAGGACCTGGCACAGGTGGAGGTAGCCAATTAAATTACTATGTGAATCCATAAAAGGATCTAAGTCCTTGAGTCGGAGGAAACCCGAATTTACAGCTAATTGATTCTGAAGTCGTTTAATCTCCTGCCCCTTTTTACTCTTGCCATCTTGTTACATCCCCAACGTTTTATCTTTAATTGTGTCGTACAAAGAGCCGGGGATTCTCGTCGTTGAGGCTCGGAGGTGAACGGTTCGCTCGAATCAAATGCGTCGCACTTAGTCATGGTAGCTGCGACGCAAATAGTGCCCCTATTTACTCCCGCCATTATCCACTATATCATATGTTTGCACGTGGAAATACCTCAGTCTAAACAATGATTAGACACCGCGCTAGCCGTGTTAATTAATCGATCGGCCGCTACAAGCTGCATTAATACCAACAGCGAATTCGCTCTACGTTTCACCCTATTAAAGGTATCCTCTTCCCGCGTCGGTCACGCGCGACGCGCCCCTAGTGTAAAAGGGGAAATGTCGATTCGCCTTTTCGATACGTCGAATAAAACGAAACTTTATCCGGCCGACGAGATCGACGGTTTTTCCGATATGCAGACACGATATCAGGTTCACGGCGGAGGAGAAACGGACGGCGAAACCGGGGAGGCGAGAGGTCGGCCAGGGACGACGTGAAGACTCGCCGAGGCTTTTAAGAACGCGATGAAAAGCGCGGACGAACAAGACCTCGTTAGAGCAGTGAAAAAGCACTGACGAGGGGCGTTTCACGCGGCCCTCGACCGATCCGATCCGACCGGTCGCGACGATCGCACTCGTCTCTGATCGCGCGATCGCGGCCTTTTTTCTAATAACGTCCCTCGTGCCACGAGTGCAGGCGAAAGAGTTCAGTTCCTTGAAATTATACAGATTTCTTCTTTCCAACCGTCTCCTCATATTTTATTCAGGTATTTCGGCCTGTCTTTAATGGACCACAAAATGACCGCCGCAAGTCCGTTTACTTGCCATACGGTCGTTATCGTAGCCGCATAGAATTACGTTATCTTCACGGTGACGTGTTCAAAATTAGGGTGACGTCAGGGTCCGTACAATTATTTACGCTTTCAGAACGACATGACTTTCGTTATCGCGAACTTATCTTTATTTCCAAAACTCGAGTCGCCTTCTTATCACCTTGCCAAGTTTCATAGACCACACAGATCCCCCGCCCTCCCCCGTTCAGACTAAATTACTAAATCATCTCTGTATCGAATGAGATGTAATCGCAACCCCCGTTCGCCCGTTATCCGGTCCAGACGTAACACTTGTCGTCGGGACTTTGCTCGCGTATCGCCGTGTCATTATCGATCGCAGTCTCGCCCCGTATCTCGCAATAAAACGAAACGCGGATGAATTATTGGCTACCGCTCGAAAATTAATTGCCGAATCTGTCGCGCTGAAAGAGAAACCTCCTCTTTGTTTCCTTAACTAACGAAATCCCCTTTTGTCCCCCGTTCGAAATATTGAAACGTCGAGGGTATTTAAGCGCTCGCGAAAGAGGATAGCGATGTCAGTTTCAGATTATCCTATTTCACGGTAGGATTTCCCCGATTTCATTTGTCGCTCGGCCTTCAATAAGCTCACCTTCGGGCGAACGGGATTTTTTTCTTCGCCGCCTGAGCCCGCTTCCTCGTGCGGAGGAGTTTATAAAAATTTCCCCCTCGTTCCGGTTGATTTAACACGACTGACTTATTGGCTCCGACAAATAAATTGTCTCGCTCGTGCAATCCGCTCTCTTTCGCTCTCGAGATCATTGGCAACCCCTTTGGAAACCTTAAAGTACCAGTCGCGAGGGTCCCGCGATACTTTTAGCGCGACACGAAAGGCACCTACGTATAGATACATCACTGACGAAATTCAATTAAAAAATCGAGAGGAAAGATATCGAACGGGGGAGAGAGCAGATGTGCCTGAGGAACGATTCGCGGTAGACTCGGGCGAGCGTAGTTTCAAAAGTACCCCGCACAATTTTCAGCTTTCCCAGTTCCTCTCGAGACTCGTAAATCATCGATCAAAACGGAAGTCGGACGGGGGAGTTAGCCGTCACCGGGACACCGAGAGACGCATTTGCCGCATTTCTGTCGCTCGTCGTGCGATACAGCGCGCACAATACGGCCCATTAATGACGGAAAGGTTATTGTCGGGGGGAAGAATGGACGTCGGGTACTCGCAGACTCTCGGAATAAAGAACTTTGCGCGCGGGCTCCTAAGACTTTCATAACGTCGCTTGACTTTCCCAATATACGCGGTAACGTCGTTAGGACGGAATCACAAAGTAGAGCGGAGTCCAACAAACACGGGGACGCGAGCCCCGCTTTCATTTCTCAGCGCGCCGCGCGCTCCGTCGCGCCGTTGAAAAATCGCGGCTAATTGAAAAAATTGCGAAAGTTGCGAGAACTTTCGTCGGTAGTCGTCGCCTCCGAGGTGCCCATCTTTCGCGCTCACGGAACTCCATTAAGCTCGGAAACTAATTTCCCAACCGACCTCCAACGGCGAGGCTGTCTTGTAATCCTCTGCGGTCTGCGACTCCCGAGACACGTGTCCGGGGAATCGGCAATTTATTATTTTACGACTCGCCAAGATGGTCTGGATTAATCCTTGTTACTATAAAAATTACCCCTTCCCCCGCTTCGAGATGGGGAGCTGAGAATTATCACGCTTCATGAATAGTCGGGGAAAAACCGAGATTATCAATTAATATTTACTTGGATTATTGTTACAACAAAAGTGTTCTTGCGTACTTTTCAGAGATAAAACTAACGTTATAAGAGATAAATACGAAAATTGAAAAGAGAACGTGGCCAAAAATTTTGTAGCTATTTCTAGCGATTCAACGAAATATTCGCCAAAACTCGTCAAATTTGTCCAGTTGGCTAATAAACTGACGGTTACGTACGTATTTTTGATGCCCAGAGAGCGAATCTTCTGAGCACAAATCGCGAATGCGCGTGGCGATATTTTTTCGCTCGTAAAAATGAGCATCTGTTTTCGCCTGCTCCCGCCTGGTCTCAATGTAATTAACACGACGTTCCGTCAGTGCCTACCCGCTGCTTTGTGGGCCTTGGGGTTCGTTAAGCTCGGCAAATTAATTTCCATCGTACTTTCAAACCCGACCGCGATTCTTGCGGTTCGCCAGTGAATGCGCGCGTTACGAAGTGCGCCTGGCTCGTAATGCAGCGATTCACGACCGCGCTTCCGCATCCGTTTTGTCGGTCCTCCCCCTCTTTCGCCAGATGAGGATATGATGCCACGGGGAGAAGAGGGTAGGGGGGAGGGAGGGAGGGAGGGAGGAGTGGAAAACGCGGACGTGGAAGTGCCAAAGCCGCGGAGGAAAACGCAACGCGGGTTATTCGCTTAGCGGTAAATTAAATCTAACGAGTCGGAGGGAAAGTATTCGCGCAATGTCTGACTCGTGCGGAACACGACCGTGCGAAATGTAGGATCTACTGTTCAGCGTTTTCCGCCAGGTTTCCGATCCGCTTTCGACTTTGATCGTTCTTGAATCATTCAGTTGCCGGCTTTCCAGCGGATACGGAGTCGACGTTTTCTCGGCGGAAATTTCGCGAGACGTTTATTTACGGCTCTCTGCCCTTCGAGATCAGATTTTTAATTAATCAAGCACTATAGCAAATATGCGTCGACAAGAGAGCGCAGTCCGCGTGTGATTAAACGATGGACTTTTCTTTTTATTTAAACTGAGTCACGGTTATCAATCGTTAGCCGTTAATCCGGCACCAGTTATTCCCCGAGTTATAATAGCGCAGGTATCGGATGGTAGATCGGCGATCGATTAAACAAGAGAGACGAGATTAGATTCGATGTAATGCAATAAAACCTAACTACAGGTCCAACCACCTTACAATTATGGTCTGACTAAACGTTCCGCGTTTAGCTTCAGCGCCAGATTCGTTGTCGTAAAGTCTTCACGGTAGATTCAGCAATCATGCGAATTATATGGCCCTCGAGGAGTCTCCTTATTCATGATATATCCACGTAGATGTAGCGATGTTGCAACCTTAGGAGAGGCGAAGGGAAGATCGATGGCCGCGCGATACATCACGCCAGAGATTAATCTAAGATTTGATATCCTCGGTAGAGAATGAACTTCCGTGTGCGAGAAAAAAGGAAACGCCCTGGAACTTCGTTAACTGATGTTGAAATGTGGCGAAAAGTTGCGATTTTCTTTTGTAAGAGGAAGCAACAAATCCGGGACCTCGCATGAAATTGGATCATAAAATAGATACAGGAACATTAATTTCCTAACTATACATATATATATTTATAACAAAAATAAAGAGTTACTGTCGCCAGTACATAATTAACCAATGTAGGAAAATTGATAAACGACGCAACTGGCAATTTTAATTAGAGAAATTTTATTGCGAAAAATATTACCTCGGCCAAAGTTTGAACCTGGACCTCCCTGCACTCAAGGCGGGCGTCTCACCAATTCGACGACCAAAGACAGAATTTAACGACTGAGAACAGAATTGGTGAGACGCCAGCCTTGAGTGCAGGGAAGTCCAGGTTCAAACCCTGGCTGAGGTAATATTTTTCGCAAAGAAATTTCTCTAATTAGAATTGCCAGTTGCGTCGTTTATCAATTTTTCTACGTTGGTTAATTATGTACTGGCGACAATAAGTCGTCATTCTTGTTCCAATTCGACGACCCAGAACAGAATTCGACGACTGAGGACAGAATTGGCGAGACGCCCGCCTAGAGTGCGGAGAGGTCCAGGTTCAAGCTCTGGCTGAGGTAATATTTTTCGCAATAAAATTGCTCTAATTAGAATGCCAGTTGCGTCGTTTATCAATTTTCCTATATATATATATATTTGTATTTATGTACT